CTGGCGTAGCATTGGGACTCCCTGCTAGGGCTCCTGATAGGGCTTCTGGATGGGCTCCTGCTAGGGCTCACGCTCCCCACTGCGGTGCTGCTGGGTGGAGTGCGGTTAGGAATGGCGCGATCCGGCTGGAGAGAAGATGTGGCAGGCAGGGGGACGTCTCTGGCCGGGACCGACGAGCTCCTGAAGATGCGGCGGGACGAAGCGGCTGCGTGAGTAGTGTGAGGGGGCGGTGTGAGTGGGGAGGGGCCATGGGCGGGGTTCACAGCTGCTGCTTGAATTGCTAATGGAGCTGCTGCCTCCGGCTTGCTGGAAGTGCCATAGGTAGACCGAATGTGATGAGCTGGCATCACAGCTGAAGCCGGGGAAATGGCGTCGCGCGCGCTGGAGCCCCGTTGCTGCAGCTGGCCTTCCATGAGCGAGACGGAGTGCCTCCGTGCGTGTCTAGGAACCTCAGGTGGCCGCCTCTGATCCCCGCCGGACGCACTTCGACCGCTGCTGCTGCTGCTGCTGACGGCGCAACTGCTACTTCTCATGTACGGTCTGAATCCGCTGCTGCAGGCGCTGCCGGTGGTGCTGCTTCGAACGACAAGACCGTTGCTGCCGCCTTGAAACGGCGCGTTCCGCGCAGGGGGGTTCCCCGGGCTGCTCGCGCCGGCCGCGGACCCGCCTCGGCGCTGCAGGATGAGCAGACGGTCGCTCGTCATCGACCGATGCAGGCGCGACGCGGGGGGGGTCGGAAGCGGCGGATGCGCCGAAGCGCCTCCCGCGGGACCCGCCGGCGACGTGGTTGTAGCCGGCGAAGCTGCTACAGCCGGGGAGAAGAAGTAGGGGACGTGATCGCGGGAGGAAGCGAGAGGGGAAATCGTGGAGTTGTCGGCTCTGCTGCTACTGCTCGTGCTGCTACAAGCGCTTCCGGTGCTCCAGGGGGAAAGAATGCTGCTCGGACTGTTCGTGTTCGCGCTGCTACCAAAGATTCTCCCAGCTTCGTCGCTAAGCGACGACCACTCTTCCGTCGCCAGCTCTTTCGTGCGACGCGATTCGCCCGTCGCAGCCGTGCCGTCCTCGCTGAACCGCCTTGCCGAGCGACCGACGGATGAGCGACGGATGCTCAGCGGCGCGTGCTGAGCGGAACTAGCAACATCAGATTCCGCGCTCGCGCTTCGCGCGCTCATCCTGCCTTCGAGCCGTTCCGCGCGCGTCGCGTTTCCCTCGTCTCGCATAGAAAGCGAAAGAAGTTTCGCAGAAGAAGCTTCCCATGACTCCAGGTCGATTCGTGACGTCGAGTCCGTGGGGGTTTCGCGGGAAGGAGCCGTCAGCGCGCGACGAACCGCAACGCGTTTCTTCGCCAGATGCTGTCCGTAGCCGATGTCGGTGTCGGTTTCAGCGGCGGCGACAGCGGAGGCATCGCTGTTGCGAGCCGCGCGAAGCGACTCAAGGCGGAGTGGCGCATCGAGGTGCCAGCTACGCCGCTGCCATAGCTGCTGCTGCTGCTGCTGCTGCTGCTGCTGAAGTTTCGAATCTGGATCTTGCGCAATTTGCGGAACGATCGGGTAGTAACCTGCGGCCGCAGCTCGCGTGGTATCCTCGGTGACGGCGCGGTCCGCTAGGAACGGGCCTCGGGTGTCCATTTGGATGAAGCACATGATACAATCTGGATTTCTAATGTATTTACGAATTAACGCCTACCTCTGCTAAGCGAAAAGCGATCGTTGAGAAAAGAAAAGGAGAGGGGAGCGAAAGCTTTTCGTGGATGACGAGAAAACGAAAATCGAGTCAACTTCTGAACGGATATGCCAGCGACGACGACGTTCGACACGTAACTTCAATGGCGGCGCTGTTATATATCAAGTCGAGTATCGAGATATGCTCGAGAATTCGAAGCTCGGATGTGTGGATGGTGCAGGGTGGGATGGGCGAGGGGGGAGATGGGAAAGCGGGGCGGGGAAGAGGTGGGGTTGGTGAGGTTTGGGCGGGCCGCGGAGGAGATTTGGCAGGCGATTTTGTGTGGCGTGGGGGGGAACAGCGCGGGGGAATCAGGGATATTGTGTGGAAACGTGACCTGCGCAGCGAGCTACCGGGTGGCAATTGCGCACGCGGAGCGGAGGGCTGGGCTGACTTGTTTTTTCCTTGTTTGACGCGTTTGGTCATAAATTTACAGTCAGGTCACCGTATGAAAGGGAGTGGGAATTTCTGTAATGAGGGAGTCCAGTTATGAAAGATGGCGACAGGTTGTATGCTGCTAGCAGAACATTACTCCTGCCCGGGAACTGCCGAAAAGCTAGCATACTACCCCAAAAATCGAGGTGGGAAGGAGAGAAAGTGCAGCGGAGACAGGCATTTCACGCGGGAGTGCTGCACAGTACCGCTGTGCTCATTGCAACAGCTACGCATCCCTGGCTCGGCATGATGCATCATCATGGTTTTCGGTGTCCGTTTTGAACCACCCGTCTCTCGAATGCTGGTGAACGACACCACCACCGTCGCAAGGAAATTGGGACGGGATCGGGAAGGGGAGGGTGTTGACACTGGCGCACGCATGGCGAGGTGCGCAGGAGTGTTCAGTGTGCGCCCTCACTGAACACTGAGGGGTGAAGGGGGAGGGGTGAGGGTGAGAGAGATGAAGTGGGGGGATGGGATGGGAGGAGTCTTGGATGGACGAGTCCCTGGAGTTGTGGCAAGTTTGTGGCGGTGGTCTCGGGTTTTCGTTGGTCGCCGTCCCTGTCTCTTTCACCTCGAGTGCTAGTCAACTGTACAGTCGATGCTCAGCCTATCACAAAAAATTGCTCCCACAATTAGAAAATCAGTCACTCGCGAACGTTTTGCCTGTGAGTGGTGATTGTGCTGATTTCGGGGTACAGTCACCAAGTCGCGGAAGAAAACATCTACAGTTCATAAACAACAACGGCTGCCTGTCATCAGAATTGTTTACCTGGTTACGATCTTAAACCCCTAGACTCGTTTCACATTCCAATTTCATTTTACAATCACAATTTTGCCCGTGGCGACAAGGGCGAATGTGGCGAAATCGGCAAAACCCGTTTCACTCACATGCCGCCCGCCTTACTGGTGTTCTTGAAATGAGCACCGACTGTATGGGCGGGCCGCGGAGGAGATTTGGCAGGCGATTTGGTGTGGTGTGGGGGGGAACAGCGCGGGGAAATCAGGGATATTGTGCGGAAAGGTGACCTGCGCAGCGAGCTACTGGGTGGCAATTGCTCATGCGCAGCGGAGGGCTGGACTGACTTGTTTTTCTTTGTTTGACGCGTTTTGGTCATAAATTACAGTCAGCACACCCGGTCAAAGGGAGTGGGAATTTCTGTAATGTGGGAGTACATAAGATGGCGACAGGTTGTATGCTGCAAGCAGGAACATTACTCCTGCCCGGGAACTGCCGGAAAGCTGGACTGTTACCCCGAAAATCAAGGTGGGAAGAGGGAAAGTGCTGCGGAGACAGGCACTTCACGCGGGAATGCTGCACAGTGCAGCTGTGCTCATTGCAACAGCTACGCATCCCTGGCTCGGCATGATGCATCATCATTTGTCGGTGTCTGTTCTGAACCACCCATCTCTCGAATGCTGGTGAGCGACACCACCACCGTCGCGAAGAAATCGAGACGGGATCGGGGGGGGGAGGACGTTGACACTGGCGCACGCAGTGGGAGGTGCGCGGGAGTGTTCAGTGTGCTGTGCTGTGAGTCTGGAGTGAAGGGGGGAGGGGTGAGGGGGATGATGCGGGGGGATGTGTTAGGTTGGGATGGGAAGAGTCTATGGATGGACGAGTTCCCTCGAATTGTGGTGGCAAGTTTGTGGCGGTGGCCTTGGGCTTTCGTTGGTCGCCGTCCCTGTCTCTTTCACCTCGAGTGTTTGTCAACTGTACACCACAACTGGGTGAGATGGTTGATTTGTGCACAACGCACATTAATGAGGGCTGACCGTGGGCTGGTTCGGCAACGGGAAATTCCCTTTCTCAAGGGGAAACGACGAATTGCATGCATGGCATTCCATCCCGCTGGACGACGCAATTGCGTGCATGGTGACTTCATATGCTCTTATGAGTGATTGGCTTGCCATTATGAATCTCGTCCAGCGCAGCACCGCCATACAGGTTATGAGAATTTCACGACCAAAAACGACTGGAGTACCACCTGCGCCATTGTTTGCCCTTGTCGTCGAAGGGAATTTATGACTGTGAGTGCAAGCCCAGGTTGGCAGGCTTGGCAGGGATATGACAGACAAATAAAGCTTCTGGATGTCTGCTTTAGGATGGATTTTCTAGACAGGCCGTCGCAGTCAAAAGCATACACGTACACTATTAAAACGGCCGACGAGCTATTCCCGACATGTACGTGAAAAATGGAACGGCAGTATCAGTTTACACTGCTAAAACCGAAGCTGATGGATGTCGTTCACCTGCACTTATGTGCACGAACCGTCAGCCCCTCTGTTATTTTATCCACGGTGTGCGAATCTTGGATATGCTCGAAGAATCCGATTTGCTGATGTAAGGAAACCTCAACCACCGCAATTCAACCTCCACTGTTGTGTTTTCCGCTCATCTTTTCGCGACCTGCAGCAACCCGCGCCCAACATAGCGGATATAAGGTTGATCTGTTAGCATCTACGGTCGGCTTTTCCATAGGAAACACAAGGATCGATCATAACCATAATCAAAAGATTAGTTTTAATGGCAAGGCAAACAAGGTTGCTACTGACATTCCCCTCCTTTGCTACCTTTGGAAAAAAAAAAAAAAAACAGGTATCAAGCGTTGAAACCACTCATCTATACAAATATATCACAATATAATTTATGTTTCCAAGTCCTCTATTCATCAGTTGCTCCCAGCCTTGCTGCTGCAGCTCCGTTGTGGCATTCATACGGCTAGTGGTTGCAGCTGCCGATCCCTGTTCCCATCAACCACTGCCAACTCGTTTTTGACTGGAATAATGTTCCAATCTCTGCTGCCACCTCCGCCACTGCTCAGTATCCTTGTTCCAACTACTCAGTTTCCAAATCCAGTTCCTGCAGCTACTCTTGCTGTTGCCCCTGCCATTCCTGCTCCAGCTGCTTCATTTCCACTCGCTGCTGCTTTCCTCCCATTGATCACTACATCTCTACACACCATAGCCTCCATGCTCTTACGATCTCCCTCTTTGCCATTGCTGCTGCTGGTAAGCTCGGTGATTTTCCGAACCTGCACCACCGAGTTAAAAGACACCCGCCGCTTGTGCCCAGACCTGGCAACAGGTTCGGGACAAGCCTTGGGAACAGGCTGCGAGGCAGCCCGAACCATGCTGTGCTGGAGACTCGGGAGTGCCTCGGAAACGGCTCGCAGGTTCGGATCCGAAGACGACTTGGGGTAAATGGATGGAGGGGAGGTGTGGAAAGCGGTGGAGTTGGTTCCAAGTGGATAACCGTCAAACAAGTCAGAGTGATGGGGAGTTACAGCAGATTTTGTGGGAAGAGAGGGATCGAATGGAAGGGAGGGAAGGGAAGAAGGTGAGAGGAGGGTCTGATGGACTTTAAAGCTGCTGTGTTGCTGCTGCTGCTGCTGCTGCTGTGCTGCTGCTGCTGCTGCTGCTGCTGCTGCTGCTGCTGCTGCTGCTGCTGCTGCTGCTGCTGCTGCTGCTGCTGCTGCTGCTGCTGCTGCTGCTGCTGCTGCTGCTGCTGCTGCTGCTGCTGCTGCTGCTGCTGCTGCTGCTGCTGCTGCTGCTGCTGCTGCTGCTGCTGCTGCTGCTGCTGCTGCTGCTGCTGCTGCTGCTGCTGCTGCTGCTGCTGCTGCTGCTGCTGCTGCTGCTGCTGCTGCTGCTGCTGCTGCTGCTGCTGCTGCTGCTGCTGCTGCTGCTGCTGCTGCTGCTGCTGCTGCTGCTGCTGCTGCTGCTGCTGCTGCTGCTGCTGCTGCTGCTGCTGCTGCTGCTGCTGCTGCTGCTGCTGCTGCTGCTGCTGCTGCTGCTGCTGCTGCTGCTGCTGCTGGCGCTGCTGCTGCTGTTGCTGCTGCTGCTGGTCGTGGTGGTGTTGCTGTTGCTGCTGTTGCTGCTGCTGCTGCTGCTGTTGTTTCTGCGGGCGTTCCTTCCGATGCGCCCTCTCCCCTGTCCCCTTGCCTCCCCTCACACCCTCCCCTGCCCCATTGCCTGCTCTCACCCTCACCCCTGTCCCCTTGCCTCCTCTCACCTCCCCATCATCCCCCTCCCCATCAAGCTCCAATAGGCTGGGAAGGCGGGGACTGTTCACCTCTGCTGCTGAAAGCCCTGTCCATGGCTCATGATGACCCTGGTACTGTTCATCCTGCTCCCACTGTTTTGCTGACCTGGCAACAGCCGACCGCACTCGAGGCGAGGCCAGCGCTCGAACAACCAGGCTGTTGCGAATGCCGGCAGCACTGGCAGTGCTGGTAGCAGTGCTAGTAACATCGCTGGTGGTAACATTGCTGGTAGCGTTGCTAATAACATCGCTGGCGGTAACATTGCTGGTAGCGTTGCTAGTAACATCGCTGGTGGTAACGATGCTGGTAGCGTTGCTGGCAACAGAAGCAGAGCGCACTCGAGGCGAGGCCAGCGCTCTCACAACAAGGCTGCTACGAGCTCCGGTAACATCAAGAATGCCGGTGGTAACCGCAATTCGCCTGCTGCTGCTGGTAGCTTTTCTGCTGGTGGCATTGCTGCTGGTAGCAGAATCAGAGGCAGGCGCATGCACGGCAGGAGAAGCAGCTGACGCAGTTAAAGCAGGTGGGTCTGAAGCAGGTGTGTACAGTGCAGCAGGCGCAGCATACAGATCACCAAACCGGTAGGCATCCAGACCATCTGAACCCCTCTGCACCACACCAAGATCATCTGAAACCCTCTGCACCGCACCCAGAGATGCCATTTTGCGTAGAACCCGGGGACGGGTGTGCAGGGAGGGGGAGGGCTGATTCTCTGGTAGGTGGGTGGATGGAGGTGCAGCGGCAAGGGGAGCAGCAGGGCGAGCAAAAGGGGGAGCATGGTGACTTTTGAGTCGACTCAAAAGGGTGCAGGGAGGGAGAGGGCTGATTCTCTTGTAGACGGGCAGACGGAGGAGCAACGGCAAGGGGAGCCCCAACACCTCCCAACACCTCCCGTCGCCTCCCGTCGCCTCTCCTTCTCCCAACACCTCTGCCCCTCCCTGCACTCCCTGGCCTCCCCATTCCCCTTCCCCCACAATCTTCCCCCCTTATTCTTACCCCCCTCCCTCCCTCACTTCCTTCCATCCCTTGCTGTTCCACCCCCTCCTCTCTTCTCGCACTCATTCCCCCACCCCGCTCACCCCTTCCCACTTCACCTCTCCCACTTCCCCCCTCTCCCCTTCTAACTTCCATTCTCCCACTTCCCCCCTCCCCATTTCCCTCTTCCCTCCTCCCAATTCCCCTCTCCCCCATTCTCTCTTCCCTTCTCTCACTTCTCTCCTTCCCCCCTCCCCCCTGCCCTCTCCCCCTCTCCCACCTCCCTTTTCCACAGGCATACTCAATGCACGGGCCATTCGCCTCCTCTCACCACCAACCACCTCTCTCCCCCCTCTCCCTCTACCCCCTCCACTTCTCTCTCCCCTCCTCTCCCTCTACCCCCCTCCACTTCTCTCTCTCCCTACCCCTCTCCCTCTCCCCCTCCCATTCCTCTCCCCCCCTCCTCTCCCCCCTTCCCCTTCCCCCCCATCTCTCCGGCTCCTCTTCCCCCCCTCTTCCTCGCCTTTTCATCCCAGTATCAACCACCCTCCTCTCCTCCACCCCAGCACTAGCAGGCCTTGCACTTTTAAGCGTCACTTTTAAGCTCCCCACTCGTCCAAGCTCCCTGCCCCCATTCCCACCAGCAGTAGCAGTAGCAGGCCGCGCACTTTTAAGTGTCACTCTTAAGCTCTCCACTCGTCCAAGCTCGTTTGCCCTGCCCCCATTCCCACCACCAGTAGCAGCAGCAGCAGCAGTAGCAGGCCTTGCACTTCTAAGCACCGCTCTCAAACTCTCCACTCGTCCTAGCTGATTTTCCCTGTTCCCATCTTGATTCCCAGCAGCAGCAGTAGCAGAACCGGGCCTTTGACCCTTAAGCATCACTCTTAAGCTCTCCACTCGTGCAAGCTCCTTTGTCCGGGCCCCATTCTCAGCAGCAGTAGCAGAACCAGGCCTCTCACCCTTAAGCATCACTCTTAAGCTCTCCGCTCGAGCGAGCACCTGCGCTCTACTCACACCAGAGGGAGCTCCTACCTTAGTCATTCCCTGCCCTGCCTCATTCCGTTTGCCCTCACTCCGCATTTCAACTTCCCCACAACTACCCCTCCTCTGTAGCCTCCTGCTTCCTCGTCTTTCCTCCAACCCTCCCCCATCCAGGCCTTCCCTCCGCATTTCAGCCTCCCCACAGCTGCCCCGCCTCTGTAACCTCCTGCTACTCTCCCTTCTCTTCCCTCTGACCCTTCCCTTCCTTCCCGCATTTCAACCTCCCCACAACTACCCCTCCTCTGCAGTCTCCTGCTCCCTCGCTCCTCTCCCCCTGCGCCCCTCTCTCCCTCAATGCCCCCACATGCAATGCTGCGTCCAGGCAACTCAAAGGTCACCTTTCCAGACCTGTCCTGCTGGTACCCCCCATTGAGTCCCTGCCATTCCACTCATGCACAGACTGTCCCCGCCTGTGCTGCCCTGTCGTGTTTGCTCTTTTCAACACCCGACCTTCACCATTACTCCCCCCTTCTGCCCCTCCCCCTGCCCCAAACCCTGCCCCTGCCCCTGCCGCTTCTGCCAAACCCTGAACAACCTCCCTTCTCCCACTGCCCCTCTCACTCCAACCCCTCTCGTCATTGCTCCCTCCCCGTTCACACTCCTCCCACTCCTTCCTCTCCCTCCTCCCCATAGTCCTCGCCCCTCTAGCAACCTTAGTGAGCCACACACTCCCCTCCTCCTCCTCCCTCCTCCTCCCCATCATCCCCTTCCGCAACCCACTCAGCCACCCACCCCTCCCATCAGTGCAACTCATCTCACTGCCGGCCAAATCATGACCACTAGACACCACATCTGCAAGACCCCTATCCTCATCTGATGCCTCCTCTTCCTCAACCTTCTCCCTTCTTCCTTCCTCCTCTTCCACCTTCTCCCCTCTATCCTCCTCCTCATCCCCCACACTCACACATTCTGCATCTCCTGCCCTCACCACCTGCCTCCCCAATTCCTCCTTCCTCACCTCCCCCCTCTCCTCTCTCCTCTTCTCCTCTCTCCGCCCCTCCCTTTCCTCTCTTATCACCTCTCTCTTTCCCTCTCTCCCACCCTCCTCCCCTCCCTCCTCCTCCACACTATGTGTCCTCACAGGCCCCCCACCCAGCCCACAGACGCGCAGCAGACCCAGAGAAGCAAGAATACGGGGCGATATCAACGAATCACTACGGGCCCTAAACCTCATCCCTCTCTTCCTCCCCTCTCCCTCATGCCCACTGCTCTTCCTGTCCCAACCGCGGGAACCAAACACGCGAGGAGAGAGAAAGTCGCTTCTCTTGTTCTCGCGGCCGTTGCTCTTCTCGCCGCAACCAGGTGACTCAAGGGCATGAGGAAAGATAAGGCTGCTCTCGTGACCGTTCCTCTCATGCTGCTCCTCTATGCCTTCTATAAAAAAATCTTCACTTCTCCTCTTTTCATCCTGCCTCGCTCCCGAGAATTCGCTTCTGCTCCTCTCATGCCTGCTCCCTCTCCTGCTGCTTCCCGTGAGGCTTCCGAACCTGCCGTGCCCGAACCTGTTGCTGCCGAACCTGCTGCTGTTGCCGAAGCTGATGCCGCTGCTGCTGCCAGGGCTGCTGCTGGTGCCGTGGCTATTGGGTAGTGGGAAACAAGCAGCAGAAGCAACAACACCACCACCATTGCCACTTTCAGCATCAGCAGCAGTAGCACTCACAGAAGTATTACCAACCATGATAGTACCTGCATTCGCCTCCTCCCCTCTTCTCTTACCACCTGAATCCTCCTCTTCCTCCTTCCCCACTTCCTCCTCCTCCTCCTCCTCCTCCTCCTCCTCCTCCTCCTCCTCCTCCTCCTCCTCCTCCTCCTCCTCCTCCTCCTCCTCCTCCTCCTCCTCCTCCTCCTCCTCCTCCTCCTCCTCCTCCTCCTCCTCCTGCCCTGCTGATTCCTCCTCTCTCTTCATCCCTGCTTCCCTTGTCCCCTCGTCCTCTCTTTGCCACAGCCCCACCCCTTCCTCCTTTCCCCCATCAACAGCACCACCGTCTGCATCATAAGCATACTCGTTACAAAAGCGGTTACCAGCATGATACTGACCAGGTGCCTGCAGCATGGGAGGACTAGGCGCCTCAGGTGATTCAGGTGATTCAGGTGATTCAGGTGATTCAGATGATTCAGGTGATTCAGGTGATTCAGGTGATTCAGGTGATTCGGGTGCTTCAGGTGCTCTTTGTGGTGTTGCACGCGAGTCAGGTGGAATCAGGTGGAATCAGGAGGGGTGCAGAGCTTTTAGACGCGTTAACCAGGTGGGATCTGGGGGTGGGTAATATGGCGTGGTGGGGGGGGCATGGCATTCGAGGCGCCTGGGGCATTTCAAGGTTTGCTGCAGGCAGGTGGGGACTGGGGGAGGGTGATCTGGTGAGGTGGGGGAGGTATGGCAGGGGGGAAATCTGAACCACCATGCTGAGTGCATCATCCTCCCCCTCACTTTCCTCCTCTCTTTCCTCCTCACATTCCTCCTCACATCCTCTCCTCCTCCTCCCTCCCTCCTCCTCCTCCCCCCTCTCTACTCGATCCCCCTCCCCTTCGTTCTCCTCCTCTTCCCCTCCCCACTGTCTGTGTGCCACGTCACACTCTGGGACCTCCTCTTGCTCACTAAACTGCTGACGTGGCGAGAGCTGACGTGGCAGCTGCTCGTGCCGCTCCTGAAAGCTTCGCTTTTGGTGGGGACGGTAGGGGGAATCGCGGGCAGGGCGGGGGGGGGCCAAAACGCGGAGGAGGGGGGAGTCGGGGGGAAGGGGGGAGCGTGGGGTGAGGGAGGAGGGAGTGAGAGGCGGGTGGGTGAGGGAATGGGGAGTGAGGGAATTGGGGGTGAGTGGGGGTGGGTTTTCCTGCGATGGCAAAAGGCTGAGATCGAGAGTGCACGCCCTTTTCCCGACCTCCTTCCCCTCCTTTCCTTCGCTCCCTTCTCTCCTCTCTCTCCGCTCCTGCTCCTCCTGCTCTTTGCACATCAAATCTGCGTTACAGGATTCTTCCATATAACCACCTGTCCCTGCGCTACACTGTATCTCACTCTCATTCCTATCCTCACCCTCTCCCTCCTCCCCTTTCTTCCTCCCTTTCTTCTTCCTCCTCCCCTCCCTCACCACACTCACTCTACACTCATCAGGTGTCACATCCACCCACTCACTCACAAATACCTCCGCACCCCTTTCTCGATTTAAGGACGCTCGATTTAGCAACATCCCCTCCTCCCCAACACTCCCAGCCCTCCGCATTTTCCCGAGCCTCCATTGGAACTTCAACCCGCTGCTTCGGCCAAGGCTGCCGTTGCCGAACCTACTGCTCCCTCCAGTACCGGACCTTGAGAGGCTGTCGCTACCGAACCTGGGAACGCCCCGTCTGCCGAACCTGGCGAAGCTGCTGCTGCCGAACCTATGAAGGCCAGTGCTACCGTCGTCACACCCTCCCTGCTGCTCCTGACAATTGCTCCAATCCATTCCAGTATTCGGAATAAGGTTAGTATGAGTGTCATAATCAATAATGATATTATCATTGCAGGGGCTCCCATGTCCGGGGGCAGAACTAGGCCGAACCAACAACTGCTGCTTCTGCTGCTGCTGTTGCTGGTTCTGAATCATTTCAGAAAGCCAGTCAGCTGTCATGCTGCGAACGTCATCCAAAGTCTGCCGCCCGCTTTCCCGCCGCCCACTCTTCTGCCGGCCGGCGATTGCACGTCCTGCACTCTGCATGAGCCGTGCAGCTGTTTTTTCTTTCCTCGTGAGCTTACCTGAAGGGGGAACAGGAGGCGCAGATGCAGCACCAGCAGCAGCGGCAGTGGCAGCACGGGTAATGGCTAGATCGCCATTGCCATGCCCCAAGGAATCATTTTCACAAGCTTCGATCCACGCGAGATCCATACCGTCCACGCCTTCATCCGCACCCTCCACGGCTCGATCCGCACCGTCCACTGCTGCTTGACTCACACCATCCGCCAACGGCGCACACACCCACAGCCCAGAGCCGTCACTATCGCCAAAGCCTGTGCCTTGCCTCAACTGCGCCGAGCCTGTGCCTTGCCTCAACTGCGCCGAGCCTGTGCCTTGCCTCAACTGCGCCGAGCCTGTGCCGTGCCTCAACTGCGCCGAGCCTGTGTCGGCTCTGGTCAAAGTCTCGTCAGCACCACCCGTGCCTTGACTCAAGTGCGCCGAGCCTTTGGTTTGTCTTACCCGCGACGGCCCGTCGTTTCCAAGACCCAACCGCTGCCCAGACCTGTCGCTCCATGCGAAATCCGTATCCTTTGATGATCCAGTCTGGTTGCTACTTACCGTGGTCGTCGTCACCCCATCATATTGCAAATCTGCTCCTCGCCCTCTCCCTTTTCCCTCCCCTCCTCCCACTTTTCCCCTTCCTTCCTCTCCCCCCGCTCCTTCCCCTCTTTCCGCTCGTCCTCGAATCCTGCCTTCCCCTTCCTCTCCTCTCGGAGCCGCTTCATACGCCGCCTCCCCCGCTTCTCCCCTTTTCAATCTCCTTCTTCCGGTCCCTTTTCGCCGCGTTCCTCCTATCCCCGCCTCTTCCGCCGCATCTGGTGGCGGAAAGGGCGGTTCCGCGTCGCCGTTGCTTAACTGCGCCATTCGAAGCACTCCCACTGCCTTGCTGCTTCGATGCGCGCCCATCTGCACGGGCCGCCACGTGGCACCCGGCGATTGGCTCGAGCTGCTGCCCGGGGAAACCTCCGCCTGACTGGAATTGCCGCCGGGGGACGGTGCGCCTGGGGAAGCGGCAACCGGCGCGCGCGGAGGAGGAAAATCGGAGGAGTGTGCTGTGGCGGAAGGCGCGCTGGCGGAAGCTTGCGCTCTGGGGAAGAGCGTCTCGGTGGAGGCGGAGGATGGCGGGGGGCGCGGAGAGAATGCGCGGGGGAAGGGGGAACGGGGGGAGGGTCCGGTGCCGGGGCTATTAGGTTGCGCATTGCCGGAGGGGCCAAAGGCGGAAGGTTTTCGGCGCACGGGCGTGGCGGGGGAGCGCACTGGCGGAGCGGTGGGCTGCGGGGAGCGCGCGGGAGCCTCCGCAAGAGCCTCCGCGGGGTCGGAGAAGGAGGGCTGGGCGGTTTGCGGAGGCGCGGCGAGGGGGGACCGACGGGGGGCGGAGCGGCGGCGGTACGACGGGGAGCGCGGACTCGGGGGAAGATCGATATGCAAAGCGGCGGCTGGTGCGCGGGTTGAGGGATGCGGTGCTTGCGAAGTCATTTGCGACGACAATCGCGACGTCATTCGCGAAATCCTGTGCGGCTAAGAGACTAGCGATTGCTGCGGGGGGGATGCGGGAAGGGGACTGAGCGCGAGGAGCGGAGAACGGGGGGAGCCCGCACAATCGGTTAGCGCGCGGAACGGGCAGAGCGCGTGGATAGCGGGGAGCGAGCCGTGGAGCGGTGCGGCGGGGGAAGAGCGGGGAGTGTGTGCGGAGTACGTCGTCCGCCTTTACTTGCACCCAAGTCGGCGACGCGCGCCGCGATCTGCACCTTTCCGCGACCCGCTCGACAATCCCGAGGCCTTTGCGCGGATTCAAACGGTAACTGCTCCGCCGGCTCGGGAATCCCCAGGGGAACGCGGACCCAGCAGCCGTGCAAAGCCCGCTAGAAGCACCCTAAGCATTTCCAACAAATCTTGACCGTTCGCGCAGTGGCGTCTCGAATTCAGACGATTGAGCGAACGACGTACGTCGTGAGAAATAAACCTTTTGATTGCATCAGCGGGGTTTTGGGCGTTGCGGGCATTGCGGCTTAGATTGCTTTTAGAGACCGTTTGCGAACCTACATCTACTCGTTGCAGAAGTGTTTGCTACATGGAGTTACAATTTCCCAAGCGGATCGCTTTCTTCTCTCGGAAACTCCCTCCCGACAAGAAGATGGCATAATCGAAAGAGGAGCAGATAGCCCAGCCCGCCTACCAGTTTCTGTTGGTGCTAGGTATTTCATACATCCCCGTCTGTTGCGGCGTATCCTCAGCGAGATAGCATCTCGATTCTAAAGTGGATGTCGTAAGAGCGCGTTCAGCGGAGGGTTTCGGCTAGCGTAACCAAAATAAATGCCGTTCCTCTGAGCGATTCTGCTTGTGCCCACACTCGCGAGACTGAATGGTGCACTGGATGCAATGATTCACTATACTTTCACTGAACGCGTCCTTCAGCTGCCCATTCCGGGAATTCGTGCCACTACACCTGCCAAGTTGCCTCGTAGTGTTCGTTCGGAGATGCATGAGTACGGTACGGTACGGAACTTACCCTTCTGTTGCTGTACGATACAGTACCTTACAGGCCACTCCTTGTCAGACTTCGTGAGAGTGCTGAGTCAGCATGCTGCAGCTTGGATGCCCGTCAGAAGCTGCCCCCCAGCAACTGCCCATCACCCTTGTCTCGCAAGGCGACAACTCATTCTTGACGAAACTGTACATGCAAGACTTCCTCACGCGAATATACAGTGCTCAATGACCCTGGTCATCGCAAATGATTTCAGAGCTGACATCACACTTACAAATTACAGTATGAGGTCCGCACCAGGCGTCGAGCTCGATGCTGAAATGAGAACACGAGATTGGCCGAGAGATTGTCTGCACTGAAAATCACCCTCAATGTTTTCGTTCATACAGCCCGGGGAGGGAGAGCCACCAAATTAACTCACTGGTCGCCTCCTACCTCCACCGAATCCCTTTGTCGGATGGCAACGAAAAGTCATTGACTTTAACAAGTGGCACAACTGTACATCAACTCGTTGACTTCCATAACGGTACAGTACAGTATGCAAGGGGGCGCCACCGAGCACGTTCAGGCTTGCAACATGTACGCGATATAGTAGGATCCGGATCATACAGTGTAGTATGTCTGTGGCGATCGATAGAAAGTTGCCAACTTCCCTAGTTCAATATGATATTTGAAGAAATTGACGATATGTTTCCTGCCAATAATCGCGACAAGCCCCTTATCACAGGGTTCTCTTGAGGAAGCTGGATCCAACGTCGATTAACCTCGGGTGCTCAAATGCTGGCTATCCGCGATGCAAGCTGCCGCGATATTAGCGCTGCCGGCGTCGCCCGTGCATGGCTCCGCGATCTGCTGGTCGCACGAGAACCTGCTGGCTGCCGCGCTGGGCCCGCTCGTCGTAATCACGGTTCGCGTCTCTTAACTCCCCTCTATCTTAACCCCCTCTCGTCGCTTTAATGGTTCTCTATCCCAACCCCCGTTCGTCGTTATTACGCCTTTCGTCATAATCACGCGTCGCGTCTCGTGATTCGCTCCTCGTCGTTACCAGCCCCATCTCCCCTTCTCTCCCCCGTCTTCTCTCTCCCGTCTTCTCTCCCCTGGCGTGGCTGCTCGCGCCTCCTGCTTCCGCCGCTCCATTGATGTGATTTTTGAGGCCTCCTACTTCCGCCGCCTCAAAAATCACCCCGCGCGCCTCCTGCTTCCGCCGCTCCTTGCTTCCCACCCTGTTCGCATATCCTTCTCAGTGCTTGAGGGCAAGTATCGTAGTTTTCTCTGCACGCTACGATCTCCTAACACCACACATCCTTCCAGCACCCGAACCCTGGAATCCCAATCCAGCGCCTAAGCACAGCACAATGCTCGCATTGACATGCCCATATGTTGCCGTCGCCAATTCATCCTCATTACAGGAATCACCCTCACCAAACACCCAAGCACCCTCGCGAAACTCCCCTTCTTTTACCGTCCTACCCCTCCTATTTTCCACTGTCTTCCAGAACCCGGCCAATCTCAAAGGGCCACGTGGCTTCATCCTGCTGCAACCGTCGGATTCTCTAGATGCCCAGGTCAACGGCCACGTGGCTGACTCAGGTCGGCTGACACCTCAAAAACCAATCCCAAAGTCAATCGATCCTCATCTTCTCATGGCCATCAATCTCCAGACTCAAGTTGTCTAAAAAAGAAGAAGAAAGAAAGAAAAAGAAGTAGAAAAAGACATATATTTTCTGCCCAGATATCTCTCCCAATATATTGCCTGCCCATACATTGCCTCCTCAACTATCGGCTGTCCTGATTTCGCCTGCCATCTGTTTGTACCTCTCCACCGCATTCCACCCCTTTACGCAACAGCTCCACATCTACCTCCCCCAGTCCAGTCCTCACTTCCCTGCACGTGTGTGCTGCAAATCGCTTGTCCCTCCCGTCCGCCCTCCCCTGCCAGATCTACCTGCCCCAGTCCTCACCTTCCTATGTTCATACCTTCTGCCTTTCCCACCTGTCCCCCCCGTCCGCCCTCCCCTGCCAGATCTACCTGCCCCAGTCCTCACCTCCCTGCGCCTGCAAGCCGACTCTGCTCTCTCTGTTCGCTCCCTCGCCTGGTCCCCGCTTCTCCCCCACTCCATAATCCAACGCGGGTATGTATGGCTTTCTCTTGACTGCCGTTGACTGCCGTTGACTGTTCTTGACTGCTGTTGAATCTGCTCTCTCCGTCCGTTCTCTCGCCTGGTCCACGCTACTCCCCCACTCCATACTGCATCGCGGGTACTGTCCTCGTTGCTTGACTGCCGTTCACCCACTCAGTGCTTCATAGGTAGGAGAGCCACACCTTGTTTGTCTTATTCCACACATTTCCCTCGTGTTATTTGTTGACTTTTGAGTTCACTCAAAGGTCTATCCCATCCCTTCCACAACTACATGCGCGCACCCATCACTCCCCTCATTCATCCTCTACCTCCACCAATCACCAGCTGCCAGCTGGCGGTGTGCTCCACGGACGGCCGCCTGAGAGTGTTCCGAGCGCCCGTGCAAGAGGCAGGGTCAAAATGGATCCAGGTGAGTTTCCAGGTAAGTTTTCAGGTGAGTTTTCAGGTGAGAGCCTGCAATCAGATGTTTCAGTAGGGAAAATGCTAAGTGTAAGAATGGCCGCTCTGTTCCGCCCATACTGTTACTCCTTGTTGCAGTTTGGGAGGGCGTGTTTTAAAATAAGTGTTTGGGAGGCGACTGCCCTTCTCTCTCTTGCCCACGTGTCCACGTGTCTCACTCTTGCCCACAGGTGGCGGATCTCTCTGCCTCGCTTGCTGCTCATTTGAGAGACACGTGGCAGAGCCAGCCACGTGGCAGTGATGAGAGGATGACACGTGGCAGCAATGATAGACTGCCTCGTGGCAGGGATGACAAGGAGACACGTGGAGCACAGGTGGACAAGAGAAATGAGAGGGACAGCAGCAGCGCCAGTGCACGTGTGACAGGTGGGAAAAGGACACGTGGCAGAAATCAGAGCGAGCAGGGAAGCTTAGGGAAGAAGGAGGGGGAGGAAGTGAGAAGAGCAGGGAGGAAGCGGAGAAGGGCGGAAAGGTATGGGGAGAGTGCGGAGGAGGGAGAAGGGAAAGAGAGTGAAGGCAGTGAGGAGGAGGATGAGGACGAGGGGGAAGAGTGGGAGGGAGAGGAGGAGGAGGAGGAGGAGGAGGAAGAGGAAGAGTTTGAGGAGGAGGATTGGGAAGAGGAAGAAGATGAGAGGGAGGCGGGTAAGAAGGCTGGGAAAGCCACAGCAGCAGGAGCAGGAGCAAATCGGACAAAATCTGCCGGACGGGCAGGTCTCAGTTCAGAGGATGCCGGCCAATCGCATCGCATCACTCCAATTCAGTTTGCTGCCCGGCACAAGCGGTTATTCGCCACCTGTGCGGCGTGGTCCCCACTGGTGTCGCTGACGTGGCAGGTGGTGAACCAACAACGCACCAATCAAGAGGATGGAGAGAAAGGGGAGAAAAAGCAAGGGGACGAAAGACAAAAAGATGGGAAACAGGAGCATGGAATTCCCGTGACCTTCTCGTGCCTGGTGTCTGGGTCCCAGTCTGGCCAGTCTAGGGAGGAAACGGAAGGGAAGGGAAAGCAAGGGCATGGGAACGAGGAGCATGGAATCCCCGTGACCTTCTCGTGCCTGGTGTCTGGGTCCCAGTCTGGCCACATCTCCCTCTGGCTCCACTCCTCTGCATGGTGCGAGGGGGCGTGGCTCCACTCCCCGCCGTCCCATCACTCCCATCAATCTCCACAGCAGCACCGCTCTCCTTCACCCCCTCCTTCCCCTCCTTCCCCTCTTGCCCCTCGTCCTCCTCCTTCCCCTTCGCATTCTCCTCTCCCTCTCTGGTCTCCATCTAATGCCTTCCAATCCAACGGTTCCTGGGCTCTCCTGCGGTCGCTGCGGGCGCATCCTGGCCGTTGGATCACCGCGCTGACGTGGCTGGATGACGTGGCGTGCAGGTGCAGTGGTGATGTGGCACTCAAGGAGATGGAAAGGGGACGCAAGGGGAAAGATAGCAGCAGTATTACCATCGACAGCAGCAGCAGCTGCAGGGGTGGTAGCAGTGATGGTAGTGTGAGGCTGCTTCTTGTCTCGGGTGCTTCTGATGGGAGGTAAGTGTGTGAACTATGGTGTTTGTCTCACACATCTTGAGGCGCCTCAAAAGTACCTTGTTTCCACTTTGGTTCTCAACTTGTTACAATCACATTCACACATTGCCTTTCCTTAGCCTTCCCCTCCCCACTCCACTCTTTACCTCCAAGAAAGTCATCATCTAACTCTCTTCTTCTCAGTGTGACTGTACGGCAGGTGACCTTCTTTCTCCCCTCGCTACAGTCACATCTACAGTCACACCCAGCAACAACAACAGCCGCTCCCCATCCCGCACATGGCCCTGCCCACATATCTGCACTGCACTCCAAGATAACACCGCTCTCCAAGGCATGTGTTTCTAAACCCTCGTCTCGTCTGTACTCGTCTCGTTTCCTAACGCCCCTCTCAAATATCATCCCACACATGGCTCCCCCCACATATCTGCGCTGCACTGCACACCAGGATGACTCCTCTCTCCAAGGCATGTGAGCTTCAACCTTATTTCGTTTATCCTCGTTGCTCTGTCTATCACACGCCATGTTATCATGTTCCTGATCTATCCTCATGCCATGTGCCTGCCTGTGTTTGCACTTCCCCTCCCCCCCCCCCCCCCCCCCCCCCCCTCTCTCCCCCTCACCTGCCATTGTCTTCCCCCTTCCGATTCAACCCCACCCTTTTCTCTGAAATTGCGGGCCCTCCTCTCGCTCCTCCCAATTTGCTCGCCACGCCACCCCCAACGGCTCTCCGGTCACCAATCTATTCGCTGCTCTTCTCAAAAGTCGACTCAAAGTCACCCCATTTCCCATGTCTCTTCGTCCCCCTTCATCCTTTACCTCCCAATCAGCTCGCTGCTCCCAACGGCTCACCAGTCACTAGTCTGTCGGCCGCTCTTCTCCCAACAGCCGTCTCAGTCACCCCTCTTCATGGCGCTAACAGTGGCAACACTGCTGCATCAGCCGCACCCAGAACAGCAGCACCAGAAGCAGCAGAAGCATCAACCGCCACAGCAGGAGCCAGCACCAGCACCAGCACCAGCACCACCAGCAGCAACAGCAGCAGAAACAGCAGCAACACCAGCACCCGAAGCACCAGTCGCAGCAGAAGCAGCAGCAGTGGTGGTGGGAGCAGGGTGTGCGTCAGGGCAAGTAGTGGCATGGTGGGTGCAGTGGGGGAGCGAGTGGGGACGAGTGGGACAGACGGGTGGAAGAGGGGGGACGAGCAGGCGGAAAGGGGGACAGATGGGGAGCGGAGCTGGGGCAGGGGGAACAAATAGGGAGGGTGCGGAACTGGCTAGTAAAGTGGGGAAGAGGGGAAAGGGAGAAGGGATTGGAGAAGTGGGTGGGTGCGTGATGGGGGGAGGATGGGCAGATGCGCATGCAGCAGCGGTGACAGGGGTGCAGGTGGTGGTGCGAGGCATGGGACTAGCAGCGCTCTACTCTTGCTCCCAGGTAAGCACTTAGGTGAGGGCATAGCCTCTTCAATCCTGCAGGTGGTGGGTGTGTGGGCAAAGGGAGAAGGGTGCATGCTGCAGCAGTGGTGACATGACATGGCACCCTGCTGGTTACATGTTGATGGTCCCTCAGTGGAGTCCACTGAGGTGACACACTGGGTGTGGAGTCCAGTTTTGAGGCGCCTCAGTGGTGCCAAATAAAGTCTAGATGTGAAGTAATTATATCCTTTTACTCCACTTATGTAGTGGTGGGTATGCTTTTACATAACTCATTTATGTCATTTACTGGTGGGCCAAGTTTGGTAGGTTATGATTAAGGCGCCTAGATTTTTTATTCGCCGTCCAAGTATAGTGATGTTCCCTCACCACCTGTTCTGTTTCATACCTTCCGCACAGTCCCATTCCTGCTCCCCTCCCTCCCCTCAGGTCGATTCAATCAAGTGCTGGTCTGTCACTCCTCCACCCAGATTCTACACCTCCTCCTCCTCCTCTTTCTCCTCCGCCCTCCCCTTCGCTCCACCCTCTCCTCACCTGGAATTTCTTTCTTTGCATCCGCTTCCCCTTCCGCACCTCTCCTCCACCCTCCCTCTCACCCCTTTAGAAAGTTCCGATGATTTGCCACAGGTGCGTTAGTTTTGAGAATTCTCAAAACCATGCCATGCCAGGCCATGCCATGCCATGCCATGCCATGCCAGGCCATTCTCATCACCCAGTCCGCCTTGTCCGAATGCCCCATCATTCTCTCCCTTCCATGGCCTGCGCACCGGCCTCTCTGACTTGATCGGCTGGCACAGCCTTGCCTGCTCAATTACCCTGCCATGCCATCGCCATCCCCTGCGTTACCCTCCAACCATGCTCTCATGCTCCCACCCATTTCCTCCCTTTCCAGGCGTCGCGCACTGATCCTTCTGACTTTGTTGGTTGTCACGGCCTTGCCTGCTCTCCCAATCGCCTCCTCATCGCAACTGTCAGTTTGCCCCCTCTATTCTCTCTCAACCTCTTTCTGCACTGCCGCAAGCTACTTTCAATTGCCCTTACCACCCTTCATCCCCATGCTGCCCGCACCCCCTTACCACCCTCACTCCTCAATCACCCTTCTGCCTGCCCTTCTGCCTGCCCTTCTGCCGAACCTCCGCTGCTGCAGGTTCGGGACATGGCTCTACATTTGAAGAATGACATGTACACCAAGTGAGTGCCTCGTTGCTCCCGTTGCTCACGTGCTACCCTCTACTATTGCTGCCCTTTTTTAACTGAGCCAAGAGGACATGGCTCTACATTTGAAGAATGACATGTACACCAAGTGAGTGCCTCGTTGCTCCTGTTGCTCACGTGCTACCCTCTACTATTGCTGCCCTTTTTAACTGAGCCAAGAGGACATGGCTCTACATTTGAAGAATGACATGTACACCGAGTGAGTGCCTCTGGTTGCTCAAAGCGTTTTTCAACCTTCAAATTTGCTGCTCTTCCACTATTAGTGAAAACCCTCAGCATCTGAGAGAATGACATGTACACCAAGAGCATCTGGTTCCTCTAAGCGTTTTGCAACCTTTGGATGTGCTCCTCTCTGAGTGGTAGTGAAGACCCTCAGCATTTGAAGAATGACATGTAAACCAAGTGATTGCCTCTTTGCTCCTGCCAAAACGTCCCTTGGTCTTGTTCCGGCTAGGCTTGCCCTTTATCAGGTCAAATTCGCCTCTTGTTCTGCCTCTTCCTCTTCTCCTGCCCTCTTCCTCTTCTCCCTTTTTTCTGCAGGTCGTTCAAAGCAGCCGTGCAGCTATTCTGGATAGCAGGGCAACGACTGACTCCCACTTCCACCCCTCTTCCTCCTCCTCCTCCTCCTGCTGCTGCTGCCGCCGCCTCTGCTGCTACTCCTTCCTTAACTCCCACCATCACCCCTTTCAACCCTCCGCCCGAATCCCTCGTTGCCCATCTGCTGCATTCATTGGGCGTGCCAAAGAAGGGCAAGGGGCCGACAGCAAGGCGGGCACGGGAGATGGTGGCATGGGAGCAGGCACTCCGCTCCTCCCTTCGCCGCCTGCTGAATGACGGCTGCTCCTCCTGCCCCTGCTCCCCCAGCTGCTGCTCTTGCTCTTCCTGCTCCGCTCTTCCCTCTCCCGATGCCGCCTCACCATCTACCTCCACCGGTGATGCTCGCAACTCACAGATTCACAGCCTTGCCATTCACACCTTCACCTGCTCCCATCTTCCTTTGTCCCCTGGGACCTCCTCGCTTCTCTGCTCAACCTCGCCAAGCAAGCCGCCTCTCTTCCCTCCACTACCGCTCCTTCTGCCGCCACCGCTGCTGCCACTACTGCAGCAGCAAACGCCCCCACTAATACTTCCCCCCTGCCATCTGCCAGCCTGACTGCCTCGCTCCGTTCACCCCTCGCCCTCCTCATCTCTCTCCTGCTTTCGGAGCTCGTCCCCTGCCCCTTCTCCCGTGCTGCTCTCTCTCTCTTGCTCTTAGTGGACCCGCTTCATCCCTCATCCGCTGCTGCTGCCACCTGCATTGGTCAAGAGCAGCGGCAGCAGAAGGAGAATTGTCAGCAGCAGCAGCAGCAGCAGCAAGAAGGGCAAGTGAGTGCAGAGGATGCGATTCGAGGCCTTTCAACGTGGCAGCTGCAAATACTTTCCACCTTCCTCCGCCACATGCTCCCATCTGCACTCCCTACCAACCAGCAGCAGCAGCTCAATCTCACACCCAGACGCACCACACTTCCCTCCCCGTCCTCCTCTCCTTCCTTCCTCCTCTCCCCTCTCCTCCCTCCCCCCGTCTCGTCCGGAAAACAAGGGACAGCGTTGCAGGTTTGGCAGCAGAGTGCGCAGGAAGGAGAGGAGGAGCAGATAGGAGGAGGTGCGGGACGGTGGAGTCAGGTGCAGCGGGTGCAGGAAGGGTTGAGAAGGATGCATCAGGAGTTGCAGCAGCGGCTGGCTTTGTCTGTCATAGTCTCTGCAGCTTTGAACCGCGGTGATAGAACGAGGCAGGAGAACGATACAGCAGTGGGGGGGCCAGCAGGGGGGCAAGCAGGAGTGGGGGGAGCAACAGCTGGGGAGGAAGCAACAGGGGGTTGCATGGAGCAAGCAGCAGTCAACTCATGCCACTGGGTGCTCTCTCAGACCACACACACCACCACTGTTGCTGCCGCTGCTGTTGCTGCTGCTGCCGGTGGTGATGCTAGTACTGTAGGTTTGAATAGGGGCACACAGGAGCAGACCAGCGCAACGGAGCCAACTTTCCCAGTGCATCCCCTTCTCGCGACCTGTGCGCACGCATTTGAACACCGGTAAGTACTAAGAAGACTTGTTTTGTTGATATGCAGCTGCATAAATACCCCACTTTCCGCTTCCCTTTCTTCCCATCTCCTCCCCCTTCCCTCACTGCAGGCCAGGAATCACAACCCCAGCCACACTCCCCACTCCTCACCATATCCCTGTCTGCCCGGCCACACTAAAGCCAATCAATGGCACCCAGTCAGCGTGGCATTGTTTGTCCTGTAGCCGCCGGATTTCCACCGAAGGCATGCTCTGCCTGGACGCTTGCCGCCCGTTTTTCCTGCCCCCGGGCAGGCAAAACTTCTGGGTCCGGGCAGAGGCATGGACAGAGCTTGTAAGGGCAGCCTTAGAGTCATCATCATCTGAAGCATCACAAGAAGTCGGCAAATCATCAGCTGGAGCTTCAGGGAATCAGCCAATCCCTGCTTGCATGCGTGAAATGGAAGCTACAGAGGAAGGAATGCTGGTGAGAGGAAAGGAGGTAACAGCAGCAGCGATAGTCACCACCATGCCTGTTTGCCCGTTCTGTGGAGTGCAAGTTGTTGCTCCCACCCCGCCTACCCTGCTGTCTCCCTCGCTTGTGTGACATAAAGCCATTCCTGTTCACGAGCATGGAAGTTGATGGTAACAGAAGAGGAGGTAACAGCTGCAGCAGCGGCAGTCACCACGATGCCTGTTTGCCTGTTCTGTGCGGTGCAGACTGCTGCTGCCAGCCTCCCACCCCACATACGGTACGCTGCAGCATCCCTCAATTACTTTTCATGAAGGCAGTTCCCTGCTTGTACACAGGAGGGGGCAGGGGCAGTTCCCTGCTTGTACACAAAAGGGGACAGTCCCCCAACCATCGTTGACTTGTGCTTAGCATAATTCACTCCTTGAATGTCATGCAATCAGCTATAACCATAATGAAGTACGGTACTGTACCATCTCGCCACAAGGCTACAACAGTATGTCGTTGCTGTATATCAAGGATACCAAGGCGAAATACACATCCAGATTGTTTATCCAGTAGTGAATCAGCCTAACAGACGCTAAGCTCTCAACCTACTGTACATGAATCCAATATACTAGCCCGAGCTGCTGAGGAGTCAAATGGCAGGCTGCCAAGGCGGGTAGTCACACAGAGAGCAACTGAGGAGTCAGGTGTAAGCAGGCAGTCAAAAGGAGTGCGCCGCCAGGAGACCAAAAAGGGATTCACTGACTGGACTGACATGCGCGAGCAGCAAATGCAAGCACATGCAACCATGTGGAGGATCAAGCAGCTGGGGAAGCAAACAGCATGGTGTGAATGCAGTGTGATAAAGAACTACCATGAACTCACAAGGAGAGCGCCAGGAGACCAAAGGCGCGCACTGACTGGACTGACATGCACGAGCAGCAAATGCACGCGCATGCAACCATGTGGAGGATCAAGCAGCTGGGGAAGCAAACGGCATGGTGTGATTGCAGTGTGCGAAAGAACGACCATGAACTCACAAAGAGAGTGCCAGGAGACCGAAGGCGCGCACTGACTGGACTGACATGCATGAGCAGCAAATGCAAATAGAGGCAGCTGAGGCAGCTGAGCAGGAAAGCGCATACAACCATGTGGCAGATGAGGCAGCTGGGGAAGCAAATAGCATGGTGTGAATGCAGTGTGCTCAGAGAACAACCATTTCACATGGCAAACCGAAGGAGGTGAGGCAAGGAGCAGAGGCCAGAGGACAGGTAGCAGGTGTGGGGAAGGGAAGATGAGGG